GCGGCCGGTGGTTGTCCTCTCCGCAATGGGGAAAACCACCAACAATCTCCTTCTTGTAATGATGAAAGTTTCTTACTGTGACGAATTTCTCCTAATTGCAGTCTCCATCGCGATGAATGTTATGTATAGTTGTTGTTGTGTATGTTAATGAGTGCTTCATGATTGTTAGTGAAGGCGGGAGACAAGGCCGTTAGCTGTGGTGTTTCTCTTGCATCTGAGATCGAGGAGTTGCGGATTATCAAGGAACTGCATCTCAGGTTTTTTGTTTTCTGTAACAATGGCCGAATAGCTGGTCTGAATATCTCTTCGATAGGTTTTGATTAGAAATACGTTTGATTGTTTCAGGACAGTGAAAGAACTCGGGGTTGACCCGTCTGTTGTTTCTTGTAAGGATTTGCTTCTTCTACCTTGTTTTTTTTTTCATTTTTTCTCTGTTCTTCTTTACAATTTCAAGCTCTCCAATTGGTGTTATATGGTTTAAAGTTTCATTCTTTTCATCTTCTATGTGGTGATATTGTTGATTTGGTTGAGTTGGTGACATTTGAACTGCGTTTTCGGGTAAAATTCACAGCCTTTCTAGAAGATTTGGAGCAACTCCTGAAAGGCATAGCCATGATGAAAGAGCTGACTCTTCGAACCAGAGATTACTTGGTCTCTTTTGGAGAGTGCATGTCTTCGAGGATTTTTTCGGCTTATCTAAATAAAATCGGCGCCAAGGCTCGTCAAGTATGTCCATCATGTTCTTTCATTTTTCATTCTAAGCATGACCGACATGATTTCGTTCGATTGATATATTGTGTAGATGCTAAGTAGATAATTGCCAATATTTTTTGGCAGTATGATGCTTTTGATGTCGGTTTCATAACAACGGATGATTTCACGAATGCCGACATCTTGGAAGCAACTTACCCAGCTGTTGCCAAGAGACTGTATGATGATTGGATGAGCGATCCTGCTATTCCCGTTGTAACGGGTTTTCTCGGGAAGGTATCAACTACGCATATTATACTCGGAATTTCTCGTCATTTTTGTTCTTACGTCGATGTTCCATTCGACTATAGGGTTGGAAAACTTGTGCCGTTACTACCTTGGGTAGGGGTGGCAGTGATTTGACCGCTACGACGATCGGTAAAGCCTTGGGTTTGCGAGAGATTCAGGTCATTCATTCTTCACGGGTCCATTGTCTAATGTGTTCTGTTATCAAGAACTCGTGTTTTACACTTTTCGATTCTTTAACTTCTATATCGGACAGGTCTGGAAAGATGTTGACGGTGTTTTAACCTGTGACCCGACTATCTATAAACGAGCAGTACCGGTACCATATCTAACGTTCGATGAAGCAGCCGAGCTTGCTTATTTCGGTGCACAGGTCCCGTCCCGTTTCACTTGAATGCAAATAATAATACACAAATTCAGTCAATAAGCAATGAAATACCGCTGCCTGCAGGTATTGCACCCTCAGTCCATGAGGCCTGCGAGAGAGGGCGATATCCCTGTTAGGGTTAAGAATTCGTACAACCCTAAAGCTCCCGGAACTATTATCACTAAAGCAAGAGACATGACTGGGGTATATGGTCTCTAGATTTGTGTTCTTTATGCTACTTATTTATCTGAGAAGGAAACCTGAAGTATTTTGGTTTCCCAATGTACAGACTGTCCTAACCAGCATAGTTTTGAAACGGAATGTGACCATGCTGGATATAGTAAGCACCCGAATGCTCGGCCAGGTCGGATTTCTTGCAAAGGTATGAACCCGTGCTTCTAACATGTTTACGTGGCAAAAATCTAGAAGTTCATTGGTGTTAGTATTGCTAATATCGATTTCCTTGGGACAAGGTGTTTTCGATATTTGAAGAACTGGGCATATCTGTTGATGTTGTTGCCACTAGTGAAGTCAGTCTATCTCTGACATTGGACCCTTCAAAACTCTGGAGCAGGGAATTGATTCAACAGGCAAGTGTCAAGTCGTAAACTATTCCTACATATGCACCTCATTTGATTTCCCACTTCATGAACAAAAAAAACTTTTTTTTTCGTTAAGTCTCGTTTCCCCGTTACAGGAGCTCGATCACGTGGTTGAAGAGCTAGAAAAAATCGCGGTGGTGAATCTCCTACGAAGAAGGGCAATCATCTCTCTCATTGGTAACGTTCAGCACTCCTCTCTAATCCTAGAGAAGGTTAGTATTATAAAAAGCTTCCCCCACAAAGAAAGATCTCATCTTTGTGCCAAATGTGCATAAAAGCTTCGATTTTTTTTTTTACAGGCATTTCATGTTCTTCGGACAAAAGGTGTCAATGTCCAGATGATATCACAGGGAGCATCCAAGGTTTCCTCAATTGCCCACCACAACACTCTCCTCCTTTTTCATCACTACCAAATAAATTCCCCTTTACCTGTTTTCTTCTGCAGGTGAATATCTCCCTTATAGTAAACGAAGACGAGGCCGAAAGATGCATAGAAGCTCTTCACCGAGCCTTTTTCGAGAGCGGTGACCTCTCGAAGCTATTGATACAGCCTGGAAGCGGCAACGGGTCGCCAGTTCCCGTTAATGTAGAGAACTGAATCGAACCCATCTCATCCCCTAATGATATTTTACATGATTTTAGGTTAGGCGTTTCCCGGGCAAGTTCATGACTTTGGCTCTTGAGTTTTGTTTTGTGATTTGTAGTAACATAACATGTACCTGTTCCCTGTGTGGTGCGGGGAAATTTTTCGCCGGTCGAGAACTTAATGCCGTTTTGCATTCGGGCAAGTGGAATGAGTGCCGTCTTGCATAAATCAGACATTTTTTTAATGTGGATTTGTTGGGTCGGTAATCATGTTTTGTTACACAAATTCAACGCTCAACCTAACAAAACCTAAGCAACTGATGGAGAAGTTGATTAATTTGAAAGCAAAAAAAAAAAAAAAAACATAACTGATAAAAAGATACAATATAAACATGTGCTAAAACTGTCCAATACAGAGATGTGAACTTCCAGATTACAACTGCTAAAAGCTATGGAGTTGAGTAAGCATGTGGACGAGCTCATCACTTGAAGGCCGGTCTGCCGGAAAATCCGAGAGGCAGATAATGGAAATCCTCACCGCCATCAACATCTCGTCTTCCTCGGTCTCCTCCACGAGAATTCTCTTATCCAATGCTTCCCGGCCTTCCCCCGCTTGCTGCAGATGCTTCAGCCATTTCCCGAGGCTTCCTCCGTTTCCCACTTCTCCAAAGAAAGGATCGTTCGGGTCTCGCCCCGTTAAGAGAACCGCTAATATCATCCCGAAGCTGAATACGTCGCTTTTTTCTGTATATCTGTCATAACAGATCAAACAAACTCCTCATCAGTTGTTACAAGACAAGACATGTAACTACTCATCATATCGATTTTGAAGTACCTGTTGTTTTGGAAAGATTCCGGAGCTGAGTAGATGGACTGTGTTCTGTCTGAATCCGGCATGATCTTGGCCAATCCACAGTCGGAAAGCCTTGGCTCGAACTCAGCATCCAACATTACATTTGTAGGCTTCAAGTTCAGATGCAGAATCTGAGGAACACAACTGAAATGAATATACTGAAGCCCCTTGACGATTCCGACCGCAATCCGAAGCCTAATTTCCCACTCGAGCTGCAACTCGTTCGCCCTCACTCTGTTCATCACATCCTCAAGGCTACCGTTCGAGACGTAATCGTAAACGAGGGAGAACCCATCTGATTCTCGGACATAAGCCCTCAAACTCATGAGATTCCTGTGTCTTAACCCAGCAAGAATCTCGAGCTCCTTCTGCACTCTTCTCTTCACCGACTTGCTGCTTGACCCTTCTGGCGAGCCATTCTCAAGTGGGCAAAGCCTCTTGACTGCAACAACCAGACCATTGTCGAGGACCGTCTTGTAGTATTTGCCATTAGGGTTTGAGCCAAGCAACTGGGTGTCATTTACCAGAGCTGTCTGAAGGGTTTTGGGTGAAATCTTGGGGGAGAAAATCACAGGACCCCTGAGAATGGGTGTCTGTTTCATGTATCTAACGAAGTAACGGACCAAAAGAGCAAACGCCAATGAAGAGACAAGCCCTGTCACAATCCCAGATGAGATGCTGATTATGATAATCTTGGGAGTGATTCTTGAATCTGGTGGCCGAGGCGATGATGGTGGAGCCGTGGATAAGTAATGTTTCACTGTTCTTGGACGGCAGCTGGTGCATGTGCTTGTTTTGGAACTGAAGAGCAAGAACATCAGAAACAGGAGAGAGATTGCGTTGTGCCTTCTTCTTCTCTGCTCCATTTCTGCATCCAGGACCCAGGAAGAAATCAAAATCATCGAGACGAAAAAGGGACTAGGGCTTTAAGGATAGGGCAAAATCCGAGAAAATGTTGTGAACCCGAGAAGAAAGATGGGAAATTTCGGAAAGATTGCAACCAAATTCCACGAGAAAGAAGAAACCCAGAGCAAGCCGAAGCTGTTTTCAGAGCTCAAACCCAGAAAAATTTGCCATCTTTTTCACACTACAGTGAAGCTCCTCTCCTTGGCCCGAAAATATTCCCGAGAAAACCGATGGGGAAAACACGAGAAGGAAGGAAGAAAAGAAAGGAGCTTGAAAGGAATCCAACTTCGAAATCTTCACAAGGAAGACGAACAGAATCACTTGCCCGTGGATTCTTATCCCGAAACCTCAGAAATTCTTCCCCTTTTTCCAAGCAAGAATGCCCCCAAAAAAGAAATTTAAATTAAAAAAAGAAACAAAGCTTGGAACTTTATCTAACCACAGAAATCAGATTCCCTCGCCAGAATAAAAATCGAGCTTCAATGTCGCCAACACTAAAAAAACTCAACGACCCCTGTAAGAAGAGAACAAACTTCGAAGGAACATCTTCTCGTTTCCACAATTACTATTCTGCGGCAGAAAAAGATGAAAAAGAACAAACAAAATCCCCGAAACTGTTCCCTCGCTAATCAAGCAAAGCCTCTGTATCTGTGAGACCGTGACACTCTCTCTCCCTCTCTCTCTCTCTCTCTCTCTCTCTCTCTCTCTCTCTCTCTCTCAATTCTGAACAGACAAGCATGACCATTCCTCCGTTACATCCCGAGAAGAAAGAAAAGAAAAAAACAGCGAAAAAGGGTGTTTCCATTTACCAAAAAAAAAAAAGTGTTCCCGCCTCAGAGATGAAGTGGGGTCAGATGGAACGGGATGGGGTCCACATGCCACGTAGGTTCAGCTGGCGACGCTGGGGGAGTGGCCGAAAGCGTGACATTGAGGAGCGTGCAATGAAAGGAGGAGAGGGAGAATCTGGTCCGTTGAATATTTGATGATCTTAGATAAGATCTGAACCGTTGATTCTTGTAAAAGAGGCTCGGGAACCGTTATCCATCGTGGAATCATTAGTGTTTAAAACAAAAAGTGGCTCTCTTTGTTAAAATTTGTATATTTAAACTATTTTTTTCAGTAATCTAATTTTTGTTATTTTTTTCCAATCTTTTAGAGGAACAAAAAAATTTATATAAATATTTTTTTTTCAAGTGGGAACTCGAATCCGATTTGAAAATGAGTTTTGTTCCAAATTATCATAAAAACTTTGTAAATTTTTAACTGTTTTTTAGCGATATCAAACGACCGGTCCGAACACGATCTGAAAATTTAAACGGATAGAAAAATATATAAAATTCTATATTTTTTTTTTATCAAAAGATGTATAAATAACTAAAGTTTTTTAAGCGTAAAATTTTATTTTTTTCCTTTTTTTCACGAATAACATGTATTTTTTTACTGGCTATGTTTATAAGACAAAAATTATAACAATTTTATTTTTGATGTGATATAACATTTTTTTTCTTTTACTATGTTATTACAATAACAAAAAAGCGCTCATAATTTTCATCTTTTAGTATAAAAAGGTGACAAACCAAAAAAATATTGTTAATGATTGAAAAGCAAATATACAATTTATTATATTTTATTTTTTCGGGTAATATGGGAGGATTATATGAAATTCGCTTTAGTGTTCTGAATGTAGATAAATTTATCGGACAGTAAAATGGTAAATCGTGTTATGTGAGTTAAAAATAAAAAATAAAAAGAGTACACCAGTACATGTTTTTTATTCTCTCAATATTACGTTTTTCTTACGTGGGGTACCGTGTTATGTAAAGTCCGTGATTATTATATTATTGTTTTTTTGTCGGATTGTATAGAGACGCGAAATACACTGAACTGACCTCTACCAATTTAATATTTTAATTAGACGTTAAAAATATTCGAAAGATTGATATGTTTTCGCATCATATAGAACTCAGTATGATTTTATATTTTCTCTTACTTTATTTTCTTTTTTGTTTTGAAAAGATTGATGTCGATTTTAGTTTAAAATTCGATCCGAACCCGTCCAAAAAATAATTGGATTCGGGTTTGAATTTATAGGTCCAAAAAAAAATTAACCTTCCGAATCGGGTTTAAATAGGGTTTCGGAATATAAACGCAATTAAAAAACGAATGTGAAAAAAGAATACAATGCAAAATTATGATGTTAAATGGATCGGTCGAGTTGGGTCGGTCTGATCCGAGTCTTATAGTTAGCGACCTAACTTGTATCAATAACCGAAAGGTAAGAAGCAAAACACAAGTAATCCAAGATATAGTTGAACAAAAAACCGATGAATATAGAGATTATAAAAAAAAATTCCAATACCAAAGTTGCGATTTTATAGGTTGGAAAGAACCATGTATATAAGCATATATATATATTGATATATTCGTCGGTCAATATACAAATCCTACCATTTCAAAAAAAAAAAGAAAAAGATGTATGCTGACACAATTTATCAAAAGAAAAAAAAAAACTTCTAGTAAGGCACATATGCTAGGGGGATGTGATCAAGTTTCTTAATTTGTTTATTAGGACAAAACAGCTGACATATAGGGAAATGTTATAATGGGCCGATAATGGGCCAATATGAAAGCTTTGATGAAGCCCAGCCCAATAATAGAAATTAAAAACATTATTATTTATTTATTTACTTAAATAAGTGAAAAACCGCCACGAGTGAACTGAGGCGGTGCGCCCTTTCGATCTTCGCCTTTGGCTCTTGGGTGTCTTTATAAACACATCGGGAGAAAATAAAATCTCAGTTTTTTCCCATAGAAATCTAATCGGGAAAAAGATTTCTCCGATCGTCTCCGATGGCTTCCTCGGGATCCTCCCCCGACGATTTCCAGTCTCGAGTTGAGAAAATCTTCGGATCTCTCGCCTTCTCTCGCTCTCCGTCGTCGTCGTCCTCTTCCGGGTCTCCTTCGGCGGCGGCGATGTGGTCTCTACCCGACGGAGACGTGGAGAAGCGGGAGTGGACGAGGGATCAAAGCGCTTCGTACGATAGGGGCGAAACTCCATGTGCGTCGTCGTTCGATGAGCTGTTGAAGCAGCAGAGGAGCTCGAAGAATGTTCGGAAGCAGTTCGAGGATGATGCAGATGCAAATGATGGTCATGGCGATGGCCCGGTGCGAGGGGAAGACGATGAATTTGGAGATGAATGGAGTATCAGATCCTCCATTGGCTTAGACCGTACTCTCGATAACGAGGTAATTCGATTCTGTCTTCAAATTCTCGCCTTTTCCGTTTCATTCCAACTCTTTGTTAATGTTTGTTGATGATTGTTTTGTTCCTTCATCTTTTGGGTAAAACTACAATTGACTAGTTTTAGATAATGTTCTTCCTATTTGCATCGAATACAATTCTGGGATATCTTCGCAGTTCTTAGAAAAACCGACAGTGTGGTTTCAATGCATAGGATGATGTTAAATCCGAGGGTTCTTTGTTTTGGATAAGGGGGCATGCCTTCTGTTGAACTGTCTTTCATGGCTTCAGTTTCTGATTATATCTCGTGTGTTCTTATCCTTTCCCTGAAAATTTCTTCAAATGGGTTGAAATTTTGGTTCTTGGTGTAGGAAGAAGAAGATGATTATGACAAAATGGCTTTAGGCAGAGAGAATACTGAGGAACGCCTGTATATGAAGGATCTTACCGATCAGGGATCTTCTCTCGGGTCTCGGGATAGACTTGCTAAATCGTCTGATAAGATTACCAGGGACCCTCGTGCTAACCACGTCGCTGCAAAACTTAGGTTGAAGGAAGACGAAGCCGAGGCTAAAAAATTCAGCTCTTCTCATAAGCATGGCTCGGGAATGGGAGAAAGTCACGGAGAATCACCCGAAGAAGTTACTGCACCTAAACCTATACTCAAAAGGAAGGATACTAGTTCAGAAACAAGGTCAAGCAAACGAGTCAGATTTGATCTTGGCTCGGGAAGTGGTGTTGAAGAAACTACAGAGACGACTGAAGACATCTCTACGAGTCCGTGTTCTGTAGATAACTCTGAATCAGAAGGTGTATCCCATCTGGGTGAAACCCGCAATCAGATTCCGGATTACTTAATGAACCCTTCGAGGTATACATGTTACAGCTTTGATTCATCCGGCAATGAAAATGAGAAGTCCACAACGGAAGAGTACATGGACACGCCCAAGTTCGATGAAGGGGGGAAATCTTCAGAACCGGAATTGTCGGAGTCTCGTTCAGGTGATGATATGAAGAAGGTCACCTTTATTCCGAGGAGAAAGCGGAATGACGTTAGGGAGGAAAATATGCAAGAAACCGAAGATCAGGGTATGCCAACAATGGGAATTGCGGTCGGAGAGGAAGCAGTAGATGGTGGACTCGATGAAACGGAAGACGAGGACCGTGGAACGGGTGAAACGGAGAGGACAAGGCAAGTTCGTCAATATCGTGCCAGGAAAAGTTCGGATTGAGACGGATGCTTGATCGCTACACAGAATTTCAGAAGTCGATCCAGTCTGTTTAAATCAAACAGTCACTCCCCATGTAATGTTTTTCTTTTGCACATTATTACAGTTGCTGGTATGCAAGTTTTCATTACAGTAGGAATCCATCAATGTCTGAAAGATGGCTCAGAAGGGCATTTCTCACCAAAGAATCTTCAGAAGATTATTTCCTCGACATGAATTTATGGATCTCGGCGCCTTGTATTGAGAAATCGAAGCTCGTCCCGAGATGAAACGATCCATTAGAGGATCGAACGTCCCCATCTTCACCACCTTTATCTCCAGAGCTCCATGTCTCTCTACCATCGGACAACAACCTCGGATCGATCTCAGGGAAATGCCGCCTTTTGTTAATCTTCCGAGAAATCGCACTGAAGAGATCATCTACATTGGTTTTCTGCGCATGGATGCTTCAGAGCACTTGGTCTCTCCTCACAAACCTAAACTGAGGCGCATTCACCAAAAGTATATCTCCCAGTCTCATTCTGTACAGACCCATAGAGAGAGAGAGAGAGAGAGTCGCAAATGGACATTTTGTTATAGAAAATTAATATTTTATTTAATGCGTATGTTATAGCTAGGGATATATATTAGAGTAAATTCTATTAGAAAATTTAAACTTGTAAAAATGGTTGAAAACTAATTCTTTAACTATAATGATATACTTTATAAATTTGTAAATAAAAAGTTTAGAAACTTTTTTCATTCATTTTTTAAAATTCTGAAATTTTAATGAGATTTTCCTTATTTTATAATAACATGAGTTTTACATGGGGTTTATGAAAATACCCTCATTTTGTTAAAACTATTTTTTCACATATATTTCTCAGATATGATCATATGGTAGTCATATTGGTTATAAAGTTATTTATAGTGATTTTATCAAGTGGTTAGTGTGATATGTAAATTGTGATTATGGTAATTTGGTGTGATATGTAAATATCTGTGTATATTAATATTCGTGTGACATGGCTTTCCAAGGAGATCAATAATAATAATAATAACATAAAAATTCGTGTTCCATGGAGTTTCTTAGTATTTGCCATGCAAAGCTCCAAATATCTTCGATTTTAATTAACTCATCATTCTTAATTAGGGCAAGCAGATTTAGCTAATATATCTTGGCTAGGAAATTTCAAATAGAACTTCGTCTTTTCTGTAATGAAGATAAAAATATTCCAAAGTTTATTTGCTATTTTGGTGCAACATGGAATATATATAATTAAGAGAAAATGATATTTTCCTACACAAACTGTTTAAAATGTGATTTTTTTCTACCAGTTTTACATGGGGTTTATGAAAATACCCTCATTTTGTTAAAACTATTTTTTCACATATATTTCTCAGATATGATCATATGGTAGTCATATTGGTTATAAAGTTATTTATAGTGATTTTATCAAGTGGTTAGTGTGATATGTAAATTGTGATTATGGTAATTTGGTGTGATATGTAAATATCTGTGTATATTAATATTCGTGTGACATGGCTTTCCAAGGAGATCAATAATAATAATAATAACATAAAAATTCGTGTTCCATGGAGTTTCTTAGTATTTGCCATGCAAAGCTCCAAATATCTTCGATTTTAATTAACTCATCATTCTTAATTAGGGCAAGCAGATTTAGCTAATATATCTTGGCTAGGAAATTTCAAATAGAACTTCGTCTTTTCTGTAATGAAGATAAAAATATTCCAAAGTTTATTTGCTATTTTGGTGCAACATGGAATATATATAATTAAGAGAAAATGATATTTTCCTACACAAACTGTTTAAAATGTGATTTTTTTCTACCCGAATTTTTAATTTGACAAAAAACTACACCAAATTATCAAATGTACCAAATTGATACACGAACTATCCAATTTAACTGCAATTTCCTACACAATCTGAAAACGGCGTTAAATGTCCGTTAACTGATGACGTGGCATGCAACATGGTGTCTGACGTGGCACGCCACATGGAAAATTTTCCCACGTCAGATTTAAAAAAAATACAAAAAAAATCCAAAAAATTGCAAAAAAACAGATTAAAAAAAATCCAAAAAAAATTGAAATAAAATAAAAATAAAATAAAAATAAAAAGCAAAAAAATACACATACATATACATATATATTCATATCTATATACAAATACAAATATAAACATATATACTCCTACATATATACATATATATTTTTTATTATGTATATATATGTATGTATGTATGTATGTATATGTATATATATACATACATACATATATACATGTTATAAGGAAACATATGTATATAAGGAACCCTGTATATTCTTTCCATCTTTATCACCTTCCATGTTTGTCTTCCTCTGCTATACTAGGGTTCCCATTGTCTGTATATATACGATTGCAATACAATGAATCATGATTGAGCCGCATACACACTTATATGGTATCAGAGCACAGAAGGTAAACACCTCGATCCTTTGTCTGCTCTGCCATGTCGACCTCCGCCGACACCACGCCTGCTCAGACACCGGAAGCAGCTGCCGTCTTCAATACCCAGGATCCGCAGAAAACTCTCCTCACGTGCAACATGTCAAGTGTCACGAAACTCACGGCTACCAACTATTTCACATGGAGTGTTCAAGTTCGTGCCTTGCTCGAGGGTCACAACCTCGATGCCTTTTATCTCCGACAATTCTGAAGTTCCGGCTGCAACGGTTACCACTGATGGAGTTGTCAATCCCAATCCTGATTTTCAGCCATGGAAACAACAGGACAGGCTTATTTTCAGCTCACTCCTGGGAGCCTTATCTGTGAATCTACAGCCATTGATTGCCAGATCGAAATCTGCTCGTGATGCCTGGCGCACCCTGGCCAACACTTACGGAAAGGCCTCTCGAGGCCACATCCTCCAGCTCCGAGACCAAATCAAACGATGCTCCAAGGGTACGCAGAGTATTGATGACTATATCAGATTTATTACATCGAAAACCGAAGAGCTTGCTCTGTTAGACAAGCCTATGGATCATGAGGATGTCTTGGATGCTATTCTCGATGGCCTGGCTGAAGAGTTTAAACCTGTTGTTGATCTGGTCTATGCAAGAGACACAGCCATCACCATTGAAGAACTTCACGAAAAGCTTCTAAATCATGAAGCAAAAATTCTGGCAGCAAAAATACCTCAGCCATCTCCCTTCCCAGTGACAGCAAATAATGCTGGGACTCGCCCTCGTCGTTCGGGTCACTCCTATCGACCATCCTCTCAGCACTGGCGCCCTCATTCCCCTGCTTCAGGGAATTCCGGAAACTACAGGGGACGCTGTCAAGCCTGCGGTACTCAAGGCCATAGCGCCAAATATTGTCCCGAGTTTAAACTCATCTCTGCGCCCAAGCTTAGTGACCGTCACTCTGCACCACAGTCTCGTCCACCTCAAAATTGGAATTCTTCAGCTTACACTGCTGCATATTCTCAGTATGACAGCACACCTTGGCTTCTTGACAGTGGAGCTTCGCATCATATTACCTCGGATCTTAATGCGCTAGCGTTGCACAACCCCTACCATGGCCCCGACGACGTGATCATCGGTGATGGTACAGGTTTGACAATTACACATAAGGGTTCTTTAGCTCTCTCTCTGCCAAACCGCTCCCTTTCATTGGATGATGTTTTATGCGTTCCGTCTATACGCAAGAATCTGGTTTCGGTACAAAAACTTTGCAAAACTAACAAGGTTTCGGTCGAATTCTTTCCCGACATGTTTCAGGTGAAGGATCTAAGCACGGGGGCGCTTCTATTGACAGGAAGAACTAAAGACGGCGTTTATGAGTGGCCTTCCTCTTCCTCTTCGTCACACTCTCCCTCAATTTTAGCTTTTTCAAGTCTCAAAACGACCTTGTCCGAATGGCACTCTCGGCTTGGTCATCCGTCTCTATCTATTCTTAAGCATGTAGTGTCTCGTTTTGCTTTACCATTATCTCGGGATTCCATGTCTTCCCATTGTCAGTCTTGTTCTACGAATAAAAGCCATAAACTACCTTTTTCGACTTCCACACTATCTTCTTCCCGACCACTTGAACTCCTTTATTCAGATGTTTGGACTTCTCCTGTTCTTTCGGTTGATGGATTCAAGTATTATGTTTTATTTGTTGATCATTACACTCGCTATTCTTGGCTATATCCTCTCACTCACAAATCCCATGTTCGTGACACATTCACCAAGTTTAAGGCCTTAGTCGAAAATAAATTTCAAACCAAAATCATCACCTTGTATACCGATAACGGGGGTGAGTTTGTTGCCTTAGCCTCTTTTCTTGCTCAACATGGAATCTCCCATTACACCACTCCTCCGCACACACCCGAGCATAATGGTATTGCCGAACGCCGTCATCGACATATTGTCGAAACCGGCTTATCACTTCTCATGCATGCGTCAATGCCCATCACGTATTGGCCCTATGCTCTCACAACCTCCGTTTATCTCATTAATCGCATGCCCACTCCAGTTTTGAACATGTCCTCTCCTTTTGAATCTCTGTTTCAAACACCACCAAACTATGCCAAACTTAAAACCTTTGGGTGTTTGTGCTACCCGTGGCTTCGTCCGTACTCGCACCATAAACTCGATCCCCGGTCTAGTCCCTGCATTTTCATAGGTTACTCTCCCTCTCAAAGTGGGTATCTTTGTTTAGAGCCATCAAATTCTCGAGTTTATGTGTCTAGGCACGTTGTCTTTCATGAATCTGTGTTCCCCTTCGGTTCCGAGTCCAGCCTCCTAAACACACCTCCTCCTGATCATTCGTCTCAACCCCCTGTCGAGTCTTCTGTTCGTCCTCTTATTCCCACACTTGTGCCACGAGTAAACCCGCCTCTGGTTGTGCCACCGTGCTCAGCCTCTTCACCGGACCACATTGCGGATAGAACGATCGCTTCCTCTGTTGGTGACCACACGGGCTCTGCTTCCTCCTCGGAAACTGTCTCAGATCAGATTCCCGCCGCTGTATGTTCGCCACCAGCTCCAGTTGGCACCGAAGCTTCCACAGATCCAAATCCTGCCCCGCCCAATCAACACTCGATGGTCACACGAAGTAAGGCTAATATCTCAAAACCTAACCCACGGTTTGCTCATCTTTGTTCAGTACAGGAAGAAGCCAAGTTACCTAAATCCACCGCTCAAGCTCTGAAGCAAGACTGTTGGAGAGAAGCCATGCAAGCTGAATATGATGCCCTTATTCGAAATCAGACCTGGGAACTTGTCTCCCCCGACACTGCCAACAATCTTGTCGGTTGCCGCTGGGTATTTCGCGTCAAGCACAATCCGGATGGAACCATTGACCGCTACAAGGCTCGCCTTGTGGCGAAGGGGTTTCACCAACGTCCCGGTATCGATTACCACGAAACTTTCAGTCCCGTTGTCAAACCGGCAACGATCAGACTTGTCCTCAGCTTGGCTGTCTCCAATAATTGGCCAATCCGACAATTGGACGTCAATAATGCTTTCCTTCAAGGGAACCTCTCCGAGCATGTATACATGGTCCAACCACCCGGATTTATTGATAAATCGAAACCTCAGCATGTCTGCCGCCTTCACAAGGCGATTTACGGCTTGAAACAAGCACCTCGTGCTTGGTATTCAGCCCTTCGGACTCACTTACTTGCGTGTGGATTCACCAACTCGAAAGCTGATGCCTCTCTCTTCACTCGGCAACAAGGCGCGACACAGCTCATTATTCTGATCTATGTAGACGATCTCATTGTCACAGGCCCCTGTTCCAGCAGCATCTCTGCGTTTGTATCTTCCCTTGCTGGACGTTTCTCGCTTAAAGATCTTGGTCCATTGTCGTTTTTTCTCGGTGTGGAAGCAATTCGGACCTCTGCTGGCCTGTTTCTCTCACAGAGAAAATATATTACTGATCTCCTTCATCGGACTGATATGGACGAAGCAAATCCGGTCTCTACACCCATGGCGTCTGGCTGCAAGCTCACCATTGATTCTGGCACCCCTCTATCTGATGCAACCGAGTTCCGACAGGTATTGGGCTGTCTACAATACCTCTCTCTCACGCGCCCGGATGTCTCTTTTGCAGTCAATAAATTGTCGCAGTTTATGCACAAACCCACTGATCAACACTGGATGGCTATCAAACGACTTCTGCGGTATTTAGTGGGGACTCGAGACACAGGTATTTTTCTGAAAACGCAGAATCCTATCTTTCTCCATGCCTACAGTGACGCTGATTGGGCTGGTGATAAGTCTGACTTCAAATCGACGGGCGCATATATTGTTTATCTCGGAAGCCACCCTGTATCTTGGTCTTCAAAGAAGCAACGTACCATTTCCAGATCATCCACGGAAGCCGAATACCGCTCGGTTGCAAACACATCTGCAGAACTTCAGTGGCTGCGCAATCTTCTGTCTGAGCTCGCCGTGCCTGTCCACCAACCCCCTGTTATCTTCTGCGATAATCTAGGCGCAACCTACCTGAGTGCAAACCCGGTATTCCACTCACGCATGAAGCATCTTGCTCTAGATTATCTGTTTGTTCGTGACCAGATCGACAAGGGCATTCTCCGTGTCACACATGTCAGCGCCAAGGATCAGTTAGCTGATATTCTCACTAAGCCATTGCCAAGAGCATCATTCACCGAGCTGTGTGTCAAGATCGGTCTCACTGACAGTGCTCCGTCTTGAGGGGGCGTATAAGGAAACATATGTATATAAGGAACCCTGTATATTCTTTCCATCTTTATCACCTTCCATGTTTTTCTTCCTCTGCTATACTAGGGTTCCCATTGTCTGTATATATACGATTGCAATACAATGAATCATGATTGAGCCGCATACACACTTATACATGTATTTATATATATGTATTTGTATATATATAAATATACTTGTATGTATGTATATATATTGGTATAAATGCATGTATATATGTGTATATTTTTTATTTGATATATATAGACATATATATACATAGGAGTATTTATGTTTATATTTGTATTTGTATGTGGATATGAATATATATGTATTTTTTATTTTGTATGTATGTATATATATGCATATGTATATATACATGTATATATATATGTATATATGTATTTATATATGTGTATGTGTATATATATAAATATATTTGTTTGTATGTATATGTATATATATATTTATATAGATGTTAGTATATATGTGTATATATGTTTTAATTTGTATATATATATTTTATATAGGAGTATTTATATTTATATTTGTATTTGTATATAGATATGAATATATGTGTAGGAGTATATATATATTTTTTAAATAGGAGTATATATATTTTTATATAGGAGTATATCTATATTTTTTAAATTTTTTTCGATTTTTTCGGATTTTTTTTTTAAAAATCTGACGTGGCATGCTGACATGGCAAAATTTTTCATGTGGCGTGCCATGTCAGACGCCACGTGGTGTGTCACGTCATTAGTTAACATACATTTAACACTCAATTCGGATTGTGTAGGAAATTGCAGTTAAATTGGGTAGTTCGTGTATGAATTTGGCACATTTGATAATATGATGTAGTTTTTTGTCAAATTAAAAGTTCGTGTAGGAAAAAATCACATTTTAAACAATTGGGAAATGTCATTTTCTCTATAATTAATGTAATGTAACCTTAGCAGGATTTACTAACTAAACGTAATTTTCAAGATAAATTTATTTTCTAGTGTTATTTTTTTAGCTGCACTATTTTTTTTGGTATAAAGCTGCACTATTTTTATGTGTTGTTTGTCATACAACCAATATACATACGGTTAATTCATTTTCCAAGATTATTATAATGAAAGAGGCAAGTCTTTGTAGTTTTTAGAGATGTTAATTTGTAGCTGAAATCTTAAAATCTAATTGCATATAAATTGTATAATAATTTATTTGCTGCTTCCAAAATCTATGTCGTATAATATTTGTGACCCAAATGTATACATGGCTTTTGCATATGCAAGATATAATAATTGTATAGACTTTCGTTCCACATGTACGTATATGACGGGGTTCAAAGAGCATATTCGATGTAGAGTTTGGTTGTTACAAAAAAAATTCTCTGTGATTCACATTATATTTTAAATTTCTAAGAGAAAACATGCAAATTGCAAAAAACATTTAACGTAGAGTTTCTCGAAAAGTTCTCTGCCTTTTCCTCTTGCTTTCGCCGAATCTCTAGTCATTTTCTTGCCACATAAATAAGCAAGATTCCCTCAATAATCTTCGATTTTAATTTTAGAGACTGTAATCGAACATGAGTTCAAGCTTTGATCTCGGCGACAAAGAAGCCGGCACCAAGGCTCTTGAAGATTTAACGAAGAATGTGAAGCAAACACAAGACAACGTATTACAAGACATCCTCAATTGTAATGTGAACACTGAGTACCTTCGAGGTTTCCTCAAGGGTCGAACCGATAAGGATCTGTTCAAGGAGAACGTTCCGGTGGTGAACTACGAGGACGTCCGGCCTTATATCGACCGTGTCGCCAATGGAGAGCCCTCTGAGATCATTTCAAACCGACCCATTACAGGTTTCTTGCTAAGGTATCAGGAAATTACCAATCTTGGTTACTTGCAAACCAAGTTACCATCGTAACTTATCCACCGATAGTCTTTGTTCTTTTATGTTCCGAGTCTTAGTTCGATGTCTCTATCTGAACAAGAAGTTTGCACTGTTGCTTGTAGTTCCGGGACTTCAGGAGGAGCACAAAAGATGATGCCGTGTAATAACAAGTACTTGGACAACTTGACGTTCATATACGATCTGCGTATGCTCGTTATAAGCAAGTCAGTATTAATTAAATTTTTTAAACTGACCATGAAGATCGGAATGAGACGGTGGAGTTCGCCTTGGACAAAAATCTCAAACAACCATCATCAACAGGATCTGCATGTTTCATCGACGTTCTTGGGCCTTCGGCAGAAAAGACTCTGATATATATATATATATAAACATATTTGACAATAGCTATTGGCTGATTTATAGGCATGTTGATGGTGTGGAGCATGGAAAAGGGATGATGTTTTTATTCACTAAGCCAGAACTCGTCACTCCTTCTGGTTTGCCAGCTAGGGCAGCGACCAGCAGCTACTTCAAGAGCGATTACTTCAAGAACCGGCCGTCGAATTGGTACTATTCTTACACAAGTCCTGACGAAGTCATCTTGTGTCCGGACAACAGGCAGAGTCTATACTGTCATTTGCTTTGTGGGCTCGTCCAAAGAAACCATGTCGTGAGGGTTGGCTCCATCTTTGCTTCAGTTCTGGTCAGAGCAATCAAGTTTCTCGAAGATTTCTGGATGGAATTGTGTTCGGGCATCCGATCAGGTCATGTCAGCGACTGGATCACTGACCTAGACTGCAAGAATTCCATCTACCGTATCCTCGACGGCCCTCGTCCTGAATTGGCGGATACGATAGAGCAAGAGTGCAACCAAAAGTCATGGGAAGGTATAATCACTAGACTCTGGCCAAAAACCAAATACATCGAAACCGTTGTTACAGGTTCAATGGCTCAGTATATTCCAGCACTACAATTCTACGGCAATGACCTGCCTCTTATCTCAACGATTTACGGTTCTTCGGAAACTACGTTCGGGATAAACCTCGATCCTCTCTGCAAACCTCGAGACGTATCTTACACATTCATGCCCAACATGTCATACTTCGAGTTTATCCCCGTGGACAGCAAGGAAGATAAGATCGTCGACCTTAAGGACGTGAAACTCGGGTGCTACTATGAACCCGTGGTCACGAATTTTTCCGGTGAGAGATTTACACATTCCCCTTTTCTTTTGCCACACGATTCAATCTTCAAAATGTTGTTCATTCATTGTTATTCTCTATAGGTTTATACAGAACGCGAGTCGGAGATATCCTTCTTGTGACCGGTTTCCACAACAACGCACCTCAATTCAAATTTGTAAGAAGAGAAAATGTAGTTTTAAGCATCGATATGGAGAAAACGAACGAAGAAAATCTCTTCAAGGCGATGAATAAGACGAAGCCTTTACTCGAATCTTCGGGTCTAATGCTTATAGACTTCACCAGCTACGCCCAAACATCGACTATTTCGGGTCACTATGTTCTTTACTGGGAACTCGTGGGTAAAGGCAAAGAGGGTAACCCTCCGATCAATCCCAAAGTACTGGAGGAGTGTTGTTTCGCAGTGGAGGAGTCGCTTGACGATGTGTACAAGAGATGTCGGAGTAAGGACAGATCAATCGGAGTTCTTGAGATAAGAGTTGTCCAAAACGGCGCATTCGATTCTCTCATGGATTTCTTCATCTCGCAAGGTGCTTCCATTGGCCAGTACAAGATGTCGAGATGTCTAAAATCTGCAAAGGCTTTGGACATAATGGAGAAGAGTGTCACGTCGAGATTCTTTAGCAAATAGTTACCATTCAAATAGTTACCATTACAGTGTAAGATATAACCAAGATTTTTTTTTATGTATTCTATCGCTTTCTCTATATATATACGTTGTATAATACAGTGATATATTAAGGGTATATTTGTAATCATATTTCTAGCGTTTATACACATGTAACTATATATATATATAGCCTACAAATATGTAAAACCGGCTTAGATACCTCCTCTTCCTAGGCCACCACCGATCCCATTTCTATCTCGTCTAAGAAAACAAAACGAAGATAGTCAATTCGCGAAGTTCGTTGAGATGCTGAAAAAACTCGAGGTAACTATGTCATTCACCGATGCTATTTTGCAGATTCCCTCGTATACGAAGTATCTGAAGGACATCCTGACCAAGAAGAGATTCGTTGAGAAAAAAACCGTTGCTCTTACTGCCGAATGCAGTGCTTTGATCCAACACGAGCTTCCGTTTAAGCGGTCCGATCCAGGTAGCTTCTCAATCCCTTGTAAATTGGGTAATGTTTCCATCGATCGTGCACTTTGTGATTTAGGGGTCGACGTCAGTCTTCTTCCATTATCGATCTTCAAGAAGCTGAACGTGGGTGAGCTAAAACCCACTAGAATGACTCTTCAACTTGCCGATCGTTCCGTTAAATACCCTGCTGGGATAGTTGAGGATGTGTCATTGAAAGTTGGGAACTTCTATATCCCGGTTGACTTCGTTGTCCTCGACATGGACAAAGACTCTAAGGTACCTATTATTCTTGGTCGTCATTCCTTAACATTGCAGATGTCGTTATCCATGTTAGAGCAGGTAAACTGACCATGAAGATCGGAATGAGACGGTGGAGTTCGCCTTGGACAAAAATCTCAAACAACCATCATCAACAGGATCTGCATGTTTCATCGACGTTCTTGGGCCTTCGGCAGAAAAGACTCTGAAGCACGGAAACAACTTTGTTGATCCAGCATACGCAGTTGACCCGGTCGTGTCATCTCCGCTACACGATCATGTCTTATCCCTTAACCAGAATTGAGCGGTACACGCAGTTGACCCGACCGTGTCATCCTCGCCACACGATCGTCTCATCCTTGATCCAGAAACGAAAGATACACCAAGTTGACCCGATCGTGTCTACTGCGCAACACGATCGTGTCCCATCATTGATCCGGAGTTCAAAGTTACAGATGACTCACCCGATCGGGTCTCCCATTTCCACACGATCGTGTGTCAGGACCTTAATCAGCCACATGACTCGTTTTCAACTCACATGAGCATTCACGACCCCTCTCACTCAGTTAAACAGGTGACTACCTTATCAGACCATTATGCTCCTATATTCATGATCCAGGTTGGCGAAAGATCGATAATCTTCGCCTCTTAGACCCGTATGGTAGTTGAGAAGGTTCGATCAAGCTAACGACCTTAAACAAGCGCTCCCGGGAGGCAACCCGAGTTTGTAGGTTAGTTTTTCTTTTCTTTCTCTTTCTTTTTGCATCGGATATTGGTTTGTGTCTCTTATCATCAGGTTGAGTTCTAATGAGGAGCTATTGAGGAGGCAAGGAAGCTAGCTATGCGATAGACGTAGACAGACTTAAGTGCGAGTGAACGAACATCGCGAGCTAAGTATTCTTTTCCATTTTTGATTTGCTTCTCTTTTGACTCATATTTTTGGTTACCTCTACTAGACGAGAATTGACACTGAGGACGGTGTCCAGTTCAAGTTTGGGGGAGGATTCGTCTAACGCCAAACCATATCCATATAGAGTAGTGTTGCATGCATTTTTCCCTTTTATTTTCACTTTTTAGTTGCATGTGCATATATGATGCATTAAGATCATATATTTTGTTGTTAGGATTGTGCATTCTCATATAGTGTTTAGGACATATAAGATCACGTGCATAAAACCGTTTAGAGCATTGATATGATGATCTATGTCATGAGAGAGTAGAAACGTCCTGAAAACATTGTGATCCGTTGAACGTGGTTAAATTTTGTTGAATTGATTTCTTGACCGTTATGATTGTCTAGAATGGCTTGTGGGGTAGAAATCGTTGGTTGGAACCCGTGGGACCGATGTTTTCTAGCCAAGTAGAAAAGTTTCTATAAGAACCTTTCCCATGTTTGTTGAAATCGGTAAAGTTTGTTATCAAATGCATTTTTATTTCTTCATGTGCAGAAAAAGATAGTGAGCATCTCGACACTCCGATGTCATTATCTCGTCAATGAAAATCGTTCGAGGACATGAGTGCATCGATTTGATGGTTTGGGTCTAAGTTGTGGGTCGGGTTATCCAATAAACAAAATCGAAAACAAAATTGATTAGGAACCCTTCAACTTCAACGTCCTAGGAACCCGAGATGCTATCAAAAGAAAAAAAGAGAGAAAGTCTAGCTAGATGAGAAACAAAAAGAGGAGAGAAAGAGAAAAAGAATGAATGTCGAAAGCGTAGACTATATACGATTAGGTAGAATGGTGTAATAGGTTCGAGAAACATGTTTGGTAGATGATTGAAGTTCTTGGATTGGTTCTAGATAGTGGTATAGATCTCATGGCTAGGAAAGATTATCCTTTAGAGAGGGAGATCATACTAGACAAACTTGATCATTGTTCACGGTGATCTAGGTCGGATAGAGGTTTCGCTCTCGATTATCATTTTGAGTTATGTCATTGTCTCGCCCTCCTTTTTCAAACCATTTTTCACGGAGAATTTGCTCGAGGAAGAGCAAAGGTTTAAGTATGGGGGTGTTTGATAACACGTATTTCGAGTGATGTTTTGATATAAGATGCCTGCGTATTTCACTCGGTTTTACATATTTGTAGGCATTCTAGAGCACATTTGGCTTCGATAATGCATGGTTGTGTTCTTTGGTGTTTAAACAGGTTTTCACGCATAAAAAGAGCAAAAGGAGTGGAAAACATGGGTTACGGAACATCACAGACGAAACGGGAACATTTGGAGTGCCTCCAGGGAAAACGTGAAGCTCAGAAAACATCAGATCTTGCAAGTCCAATAACTTTTACTGTACAAGTCCAAATCATTCATTCTCTACATTATTGGAAAGTTCTCTTCGATATCTACGTATAGACATCCAAGATCACTAAAATCCGATGTCGGAGCAGGAAGTTATGAGCAAATTCGTGAAGCCCGTCAAAACTGCGATGTGACACGATCGTGTCACTTGTGTAGACACGATCGGGTCACTTCAAATCCGAAATTTTCCAAATTTTCCCAAAAGAAAGAGGAGATAATTAGGGTTAGCCCCCAAGGTGGAAAACATTCATACTTTTGACAGAAAAACACCCTAGAGCACACAAAAGAGTGAGATTATCAAGAGGCAAGAGATCGGAGTAGAAGACGAAGATTACGAAGTCGAGAAATCGACTAAGCATTCTTCTTTTCTTCTATTTTACGATGTTTTGTATTATTGATATGAACCCTGACGTCTCGATGTTTAGCGAGTAGTTCCATAGCTGTAAGTTAGGGATTTGCTATGTAAAGAACTTTGGTTTTTAATTCTAGACTTTGTGGATTTGTTTATTCTATTGAGTTTATTGAATTGTTCTCAATGCGTTTGATCTTGTTGGTCGCTTGATTGAATGAACTTAGGGTTTTAATTCACATAGACATATGAGATTATAACGTGAAAATAATTCAATAAATAGAACATGTATCACATCAGGAGATGGGTATTTGTCTAGGAATCATGATAGCGTTCGTTCATGCATCCAGAGTTTTAGACTATCGAATCGGGAGATTGGTAGGATTAAACTTGGATAGTGAGATTATACTTGGAAGAGTTGTTCTCTATTTTAGAGATTGAATTCCCTGAACTAGATAGATAAACCACTAAGTTTGTATCTTTTGAAAGATCCTTGCATGTGAAGCAATCCCGAAGCCTATAGTGTTCATCATTCATAGTTTATAGTCGTTTTATCGTTTGTTTCACCACATTCTCACTTTCACCTTATTCTCTTTCACATTCAGACTTAGATTTGGACTCAATTCTTTTATCTATTTTTGTCCTTATGTTCGACCCTAACTGCTACAACTGAACCTACACTTGCGGTATTTGTTGGATCTAGGATTTTATTACTTGACCAAATTTATACACCTAGATTTGCGACATGAGCAAGCAAGATAAGATCGTTGACCTTAAGGACGTGAATCTCGGTTGCTACTATGAACCCATGGTCACGAATTTTTCCGGTGAGAGATTTAAACATTCCCCTTTTCTTTTGCCACACGATTCAACCTTAAAAACGTTGTCAATTGTTATTCTCTATAGGTTTATACAGAATGCGAGTCAGAGATATCCTTCTTGTGACCGGTTTCCACAACAACGCACCGCAATTAATTCAAATTCGTACGAAGAGAACATGTAGTTTTAAGCATCGATATGGAGAAAACGAACGAAGAAGATCTCTTCAAGGCGGTGAATAAGACGAAGCCTTTACTGGAATCTTCGGGTCTGATGCTTATAGACTTCATCAGCTACGCCCAAACATCGACTATTCCGGGTCACTATGTTCTTTACTGGGAACTCGTAAGTAAAGGCAAAGAGGGTAACCCTCTGATCGATCCCAAAGTACTGGAGGAGTGTTGTTTCGCAGTGGAGTCGCTTGACGATGTGTACAAGAGATGTCGGAGTAAGGACAGATCAATCGGAGCTCTTGAGATAAGAGTTGTCCTAAACAGTACGTTCGATTCTCTCATGGATTTCTTCGTCTCGCAAGGTGCTTCAATTGGTCAATACAAGACACCGAGATACATAAAATCTGCAAGGTTTTGGACATAATGGAGAAGAGTGTCATGTCGAGATTCTTTAGCAAATAGTTACCATTACAGTGTAAGATATAATCTATCGTTTTCTCTATATATATACGTTGTATAATACAGTGATATATTAAGGGTATATTTGTAATAATATCTCTAGCGTTTATACACATGTAACTATATATATATATGATTATATGAATTTCGTTTACGTGTCACATGCACTTCTTGTGGTTATAT